GATTTATACTCCGGAGCAATCACTCCAGGACCCCATCAGATGGCACATCTCCAACTGTTAAGTAGCAGACTATTCTGGGGACCTTGACAGCATGTGGCTTTGAGTTCAGTGGATCTGGAGGCCCCGAGGCTGTGCATAGGTCCAGAGACGGCTCTCCTCACACTGAGGAGCAAGAGTGTGTTCAGTAGATGCCTTGAAGCAAAGGGGCCAGTGAGAAGGTAACTTGGACCGGAACGATGCATTTCAACTTTTTTCTGATATGTTACTATAAGAAAGGATACTGGTTCTGTGTGCTAGAATCTGTTGTATTCTTACCTTGCTTACTTAGTTTTTAAGGCCTCATGCATGAATTTTTAAAATTAAAATACTGTAAAAAACTTTCTCCTAAAACACAAACAAATTTAAATAATAGTGTCCATAATTGACAAGGAATTGGGAAATTAGCATCATCAATGTACTAATTATGAAATCACATATGAGTGAAAAAGATAATCATGGAAAAGAGACTTTCAGTGTCACATTATCTCTTACTCTAGCAGCTGTATTTCCAATAAAACTATAACTTCATGATGGGCATAAAACACTGGCACACACTTATAATCTCAGTATTCAGGAGGCTGAGGCAGGAGAATCACTGCAAGTTCAAAGCCAGCCTGGACTACACAGTGAGTTAAATGCCTGTCTGAACCACAAAGAAGACCCCGTTTCAACAACAACAATAGCAGCAGCACCAGAATAACAAAAACTAAATGTTGTCTCTAATAATTAGAAACAATACAAAAAAGTGATTAATCATTTGTAAAAATCTGCATTAAGAAACTAGGAAATCATTTAATGCTATCCTCTCAGTTAGTTGCCTGATATGAAACACCTATATATAAAGTCAAAAGAGACAAGCATATCACTAAATAGTGGGTATGCAGTGATCACATTACATGGAGAAATATAGCTCTATATGTGTAACGCCCAAATTTTAAGCATTAGTTGTCATTTTTAGGCCAAGAATCATAGGAGCTTTTCATTTTTATCTGAGTACTTATATCTTCTGATTTACCCAAAATAACACATTTAATTAAGTAATAAATTTACCAGACAAACCTTCTTCCTTCAAACTTTGACTCCTGTTTTGTGTCTTATGTAGAAAAGCCAGTTTTTAAGGGGTCTGAAAGTCTGAGTTCTACTCTTGACTTTTATTGGATATGTCATGCTTTCAGCATAAGAAAACACTAGCAGCACATGTAGCATTTCATTTCAAAAATATCATTTAAATCAAGAATAAATTTATGCAGTTATTAATGAAGTTTATTTGATATTGAACAAATAATGGTATAAGAGGTATACAGATTTTTAAAAAATACTTTGAAGATCATGATCAAAAGGGTAAAGTGCAGTGGCAAGGTTCCAACTTTATGCAAATTTGTTTCCTTTCAGATGGCCATTTTTGCCTTGGGTCTTTAAATTTTGGAGATCTGATTTTTTAAAGTTCTTTATATATTCTAGATAGTGGACCCTCTTCTGAGGAAAAGCTGGTAAAAATTTTTTCCCACATTGTGGGTTGTCTCTTCACATTGTTGATCATTTCTCTTGCTGTGCAGAAGCTTTTGAATAAGAAAACAACCCACTTGCTGATTGTTTGCACTAGTTCATGGGCAATTGAGATTTTGCTCATAAAATCTTTTGCTATACCAGTGTCTTCAAGAGTTCTACCTAACCTCTCTTCTAGCACAAAAATGGGCATCTGAAATGAACAGACATTTCTCAAAGAAGTAGAAATAGCAAATAAACATGAAAAAATTTTCAACATCACTGTTCATTCCAGAAATGCAAATGAAAACAACAGTGAGATTCCACCTCACCCCAGAAAGAATGGCTGCTGTCATGAAATCAAATGATGGCAAGGCTGTGGGGAAAGAGGAACCCTGCTCCACTGCTGGTGGGAGCATAGCCTGGTTCAACTACTGTGGACATCAATATGGAGATACTTCAAAGAACTAAGATTGGAAGTTCCATTTGACCTAGCTATTCCCCTGCTGGGTACCTTCCCCAAAGAATTAAAAGAATCATACCACAGTGATATATGTGCACCCGTGTTCATAGCAGCACAGTTCATGATAGCTAAATGTTGGAAGCAACCCTATTGTCCATCAATGGATAAAAAAAATGTGGGCTTTTAAAAATAAAATGGAGTACTACTCATCCATAAAGAATGAGAAACTATAGACATTTATAGCTAAATGGATGCATACTGAGGAAATATTCTTAAGTGAAATAAATAGGACACACATGTGTAAATACCAAATAGTTTCTCTAGTGTGAGAAACTGAAAGTGTAAATAAGGACTAAAAGATATAATAAATAATGTGAAAAAGGAAGAAAAGGTGAAAAGGGGAAGTGGGAGGGTTAAGGGAAAAGAAATAGGGAATGAAATTAATATGAGAAAAAGAAAAAATGGAAACAAAGTTTTTGTAGATAGGGAGGGTTGGAGGGTTTGAAAGGAGGACAGGGGAATGGGGAAAAAATAAAAACCAAGGTGGATTATATAAAGGTGCGAATTACCATGATGAATTTCATTTTATTGTATACCTAAAATGTACCAATAAAACTAAGAAA